TGTGAACTATCCACCTCAGAGGGCATAGCATTACCAAATGTTATTTATTCACTTAGGTATTCCCAGTAATTTAGAAAATTTATAATAACAATAATTAGTTTATTCCAAGCAATGATTTTTCATACATAACGGAATTTGTATCGTTGTACATATTGTAATAATTCCCCCACCCCTTACAAACAAATGAATACATAGAACAGTAAAAATAATAAAACTACAAAAACTGAACTTGAATAGAAGAATAACAGTACTGGTTGTAATTTTCGCCTCTCTGGCATTTATCTCCTTATATTTACTCGTCGTGCTTTAGAATAAGAAGCATTTCTGACTGCGTTGACTCAGAATTTTGCCTCGTAAAAATCATGCAATCCAAACTGGTTGTTGATTCAGTTACAAAGTAAACCGTATTAGTGAAATTGGAATTCAAAGGTGATCAGGCTTCAGAGATGCTCAAAAACCATCCCTCTAAATCAATTATTAAAATGTTCTTTGCTGCTGTAAGTTGTTGTCCGTATCTGTAGAAGGCAAGCTCCCTCATCTGGCTGCCTCCATTTAATAATTCACCTGCTCTTGTGGAGCATGGTACATCATTCATAGCTACAGAATGTTTTCCACACAGATACAACAACACATTCCAGCATAGTTTTATATGGAAATAAGAAAGAAGGTGCGAAGGAAGCTTTATTATGGAACACTTGAGTGACTTCTATCACTACCCAACCTACCTCGACCATGATTTTAATATCATCTATCAAAATCATTGTTCTTTCTAAGATTCTAAAGGCAGAGGAAGCCTTGGTCATTTATGAATTAAAGAAATACCTTTTTGTACAAAAGAAGTACGTACAATTCCTATTTCTACCTTTATCATAGAGGGATTTATTTTTCTTTTTGTTTATTCAGTTAATCTGTATGCGTTTCCCTGATCGTTACGTTTACGATTATTATTGTTACTATTATTATTCTTACTTTGAACTGTTCCCGCCATTACTTCACTTCTCCAACCTGTCATTCTAAATCAGAAAAATGCTTTGCAGTGTTAAATTCTATCTTATGAAATTTCACACCATGTTATGTAACGTTTTTTATTTGCCTACTAATCCTATAATTTCGCGCCCCCTTCCAATATCCATGCATCCCATGAACCATTCTATATGTGACATTATGTGTTTTACCACTTGATATTTAACTATGATTATAATCATAAACATTTTAATTGCACTTAACACCACCATTATTCTAAGTAATCACACTTGTGTTCAAATTTCTTCACGGGCTATAATTGTACAGCTTGATAATAAATTCACTGAAAAATCTCCTCGCTGAATTTTGTGTTTTTCACATAAAACCAGTGCTAAATATGGCATTGATAGATTTTTAAATTTTATCGTTTGGGCATAAATTCTTATGAAATTTCTCCTAGTTTTATCCAAAGAAATGAGGAAGTTATAAATACAGAGGGTGTACAGTATCAGACAAGATTACTTTAGCCAACTGCTTGAAAGAATAAACATGCCCATCAATAACACTGTCAGTCCATTGGGTAGAAGGTTCACCGCTAACCCTGTCTTCAGCCTTCGAAGTCTTACACAATATAACAGTGTTACGAGAAGCTTGGAAAAGAATGGGTGGAATATGTGAATTCATAAATTGTAAGCGAAAAGATTGCGTGATCCCAGAAATTATCAACTCCCTTATGTAATGAGTCTAACGAAAGTTTTTTTTAAAAAATCACCAAGATATGAGATGACCAACAAAGATCTGAGGAGATCGGCAATATTCGATTTATTTCCTATCACAGTTCCGTCTATATTACAAGAACAATGAGACTGAATCATTTCATGCAAGTCTTCTTCAAGTTTGAAACTAAAATTAACAGTTTGACACTTAGTAGGATTCGGCTAAGGACCTTTCGAATAGGACAATTGTTTAATCTCAAACAGGAAACTATTCATATCGGAACAGTTTAATACAGAAACGATTCGGACGGAAACTATCAAGCAGTCTGTTCTTTTTGTATCAGTCATTCAACAGAAATGGCGAAACATATCATTCCTCAACAAAATTTAACATGAAGTAACAAAACCGTTGGCCAGATGTCATGTTAAGTCGTAAATTAAACAAAAGTTGACGTATAGAAGAGTGATTAGAAAATACTGCAATACAACTTAGTTTTTCAAAGTGGTTTCTTGACATATTGCACCTGAATTAGTTTAAGATGTTTGACAACAACATAAATGATCTCATCACGGATGCAGGAGTTGGGTTATTTAAAGACAAACTTCCAACGTTAATCAGATGAGAAACTGCTTTAGCTGGTCAGAATTCGTTTTCCAGTCTTTTCGCATCCATAAATATCAGCAGGATGTAGAATGACAGTAAAAGTCAGGGAAATCAAAAATTATATCAGTTTGAAATACACATGAGCAAATGTTGATATAAGTATAAAACTCGGGCACTGTGGTAGAGTATAACATCATTATGGATAAGATTTTATTTTGATAAACCAAACAGTGTTGTGCTCGAAACATATCACTGCATATGAGCAGATGAATTTCCAATAAACTACCTTTGTCTAAATTGAAATTGAGTATAGACGTAGAGTCAGTGGTACAGCAGTAAAATGATCGACAACCGTACATCTGTCCTGAGGAACTATACTTAATCGACTCACTCCTAAACCTCTCGTAGTCGGTAGTAACCTGGGTAGAGAGGGAAGTTTGGACGTGAGGCTAACAATCTCGGCCCATAAAAATAAAGCCACTGCTACTGAAACTTCACAACTCAGGCTCCTAATTCGCACTCGGAACACAAAGAAATAAAAAAAATGAGCTAAAGTCTGTGAAGCAGCTGTTAGACATTAAAAAAATATCTTCTCTACGTATAGTATATGCTAATGGTTGGTCCTGTTCGTTAAAGGTTACTCATGTCAGTTAATGAACTACATTATTGAGATACCCTGAATTTTATTCTCGGCAACACAGCATTGCAGTTCAGATACTTTTGACTTTCAGAAGCAACTATTATTAGACTTCACTTGCGAGTGTTAAATTTTCTGTTGCTCACCCTGTGCAAGCAAATAAATCCTTCATACTTTCTGATTTACGCTGCACTGATGAGAATGTCAGAGACAGAACCGGAAAAGCAAGACAGGCATTCATTATTCCGAAATCATTGTGAAAATCTGCTGCCGTCAGAATAAGAAGCAAGATTATGAGTTTCAACACTGATATCAAGCCAATACTTCCGTATATAGTTCAGAGACTTGAGACTGCATGTTAGAGAATTTCCATCAGCATGAAGACTTTTATACTGAAGATCAGATGGCCAGCAAGAACAACAATGAAGAACTCTGATAACAAACCAAATATGAACCTAGTGCCCAACAAAAATGTACAAGGAAATGAAGGTGGACTGGACTTAATCTAAGGAAACCGTTGAGTGACATCACACATCAGACCCTGGAGTGGAAGTTCATAGGGAAACAGCGAGATGGGCGTTGGTAGGGAGGTGATATGGAGGAGAACAGAGTTCCTGAGCAATAGTGAAACCAGCTAAAGAGGACTAGAAAGAACAGGATTAAATGGAGATGTACTTTTGAATCCGTATGTTCCATTCGGAACTTTCTGATTCATTCCTCAACATTCGTCCCTAACGCACTTCATTATAATTAATGCGGTCGACTAGTGTATTATCATTATTATATTATTCATCGCTTGAATTCCTAGCAAAACATACTTCTGTAGTAACATGTCGCCATTTCACTCAGTCAACTAATTTATTAGAACAAGACAGATAAGCGAACAATATTGTTTTCAATTAGATCTTCTTCAGGCTTTACTCTAATTTACATAGACTTATATATATAAAATTTTAACCAATGACGGTGATTTTGTGGATCAAATAATAATAATGTAGTAAATGTTTTGAACGAAGTTAATAACGATGATTATAATAATAACAAAATATTGATAATAAGGCTTATATAGGTGATAAGAATAACAAAGTTAGTATATGCATATATGTAGACAATTCAATAAATAAATAAATTAGGTCAAATCAAATGGAACGATAATCAAAGTTTAAATAAATATTTTACGGGTTGATCACGGATTGATATCAGTTAGAGAACCATTGAAAACCAGGGAGTACTGGACAGCTGCTGTTTCATCCTAGTTTGGGAATCATCGGCAGTACGCACCCACTGGGATTCGAACCCGGGACCTTCCGGTTACAAGGCAAGCTCGTATACCATTCAGCCACTGGGATCCGATCCAATGGCTCGTGAATTCTAACTTCTACTAATTCGTGATTAAATAAATATCATAAAAGTAGGAAGGAGAGGGATGATAAGAAAGGGTGGGAGGGTTTTGAATAGAATTCACCTAGGCCAAGGGAGAGACAGAGGTAGAACAAACTTCTTTTGTATACAAAGACTAGGATTGTTCTCTCGAATTCCCATAGCTTCGGCTAAGTGTAAAAGACGGGTTCTGATTCCGTTCGAAAGACTCGATGGAATGCGGTAAATAACTTTGAAAGCACTATTTTTGTCCACTTGGTGACCACTATCAATCAAATGAGTCAAAATAGAACTTCGTATGGATTTTATTTGACCTTTTATTACATTATTATTCATTCGTAGAGCTCCGAGTAGAACAAATGGCCTCAGCGGCACATACTCAGCTTGCACAAGAGTAAATTCAGGCTGAGTTTACTTTATTGTTGTTAGTTATTAATAATAAAAGGAGTAACAATAACAGTTCTCACGTTGAACTAGTTTGCATTTGGCTGAAAGTCAATACTCTATGTAACCAGTATTCTGACCAATAAATATTACACTGAAACTTTTAACAAATCACAGTTTTGTTTGGACAACAAAACACCAAAATTTGATTGGTTGTTAGTACAAAACAAAGTTACTGTAAACTATCGTTACAAAAAGCATGAATTTTGCACTTAAATACGTGGAATTCATTACATTCATATAATTGTTTACAAAGAGTTAAAGGTGAGTTTCCTTTAAATTTTCTACTTTTTAAAAGCTACATGTCTATGTTTTTTAGTATTCGTTACACACAGCATCATGATAAGATTTTCTTTAGACACCGTCATATTTGCATATTCAGTTGCCAAATTTTTAGTTTAGTCTATCTGAGTGATTATTAGTTATAACCTTTGACTAAATTTACTCACAAAAGGATAAAACTGTTCCTTAGTAGATCAGGTGAATGTTAAATTTGTGAACCAGCTATTAACTTTTAATTCAAGATAATGCGCTTCTATGTAATTCTCCCTGTAATGAAACATCCTTTAAAGAAGGTTTCATGAAGATCTAAATGATGCGTAATGACTTGCTAGTATGATATAATTACACTTAGCATAGTGTTGGTTGTACTGCATTTACTGAACATGTACAAAGCCGATGCTTTAATGAGTTTCCACACTAGTGCATGCATTTACTTGTCTCATCTAATATGATGAATTCTCTGTATATCCTCAGGAAGTGCTTGTGTACTGTGACATTCCCTGTACAGGAATTCAGATGTTTACTATCCATCATTTATATCAAAATTATGTTCTGTTTAAGTGGGTCCACCACTTCATTTACATCTGGTGCTAAAAAACTAAATAGTGTGAAGTCAGAACTAATGGAGAAATTAATTAGAATAGTTCAGTTTGTTCGTCAGAAGCATTATGTGATATAAACAAATCGACTGCATCTAATAACAGCAATGTAACGCAAAGGTGGAAAGATAACCATTGAATATTTACAAAATCTCACTGCCAATTAGTTCTTTGTTTAAAGATCCATGTAAAATTGTTAAACTGTTGCATTCTGATCAATACTTCTGTTTATATAAACTAACTAACATTGAAATTTCACCCATCACCGATTCTTTGTCTAATGGTTTTAGTTACAGATTTAAAAATGGGAAAAAGTAAAATTTCATCTTATGGTCCAAATGGAGAAACTTACTATCCAACATTAAGAGCTCCAGAACACCACGATGCTGACAAGGATGCAGAAGCTCTGCGTAAAGCAATGAAAGGTTGGGGTGAGTCTGGAGAGGTGTATGTCAGTAAAGTTAACAAAAAATGTATAAAGCATGCTAAAAACAATGCCCACAGCGCACTAGCTCTTCTAGCAGTGGAGATTTTGAATCAAGTTTTTAGTAGTCATCTGTCAATCTAATTAAATTGGATCCTATTGTTTAACTGGATAACTGTTTTATTCTTATTGTCTGGTTTACACATGTGTAACTTATAGTATAAATGTTTTTCCATAAGAAGACTGTCTTAATCGGTTGTATTTGGTTTACATTTTCCACTGTAATGCTGATCAACGTCCTTACAAAAACTATTCGGCTAGAAAACCATTTAAATCTACATATCAATTATGTGTGTTGCGTAAAATAATGCTGCCCAACTATATTCGTGTAAAAGAAACACCATATCACTCACATGCTAAGTTGTTATCTTCGATTCACTTTGTTTTAATGTCAAGTTATAGCTATATAAAGAAATTCAGAATGTGAAATAAAGAAACCAGAGTTATTCCACCTTCCATAATATAACGTAGTTCATCTATAGCAGCCTACTAATCCAAATATACCATACATAATTACATATATACAAAAATGCAAAACTGCTAATTCTAATAAAATCATGAGGATGGTTTTTTCTCCCTGTCTCTTTAGAGTACCTTAAAATTCCTCAAAAAACCTGAATAATAATTTAGTTGTTTCATAGTAACATTAACTGGAGTTATGTGAAGAAGCTGGAATTAATCAGACTGTGTTTGATTAGAAAATATTCATGTTATTATGGAGAGTGGATTTCCCTGTTAAATATTTATTTATTCACTTGATTGCCAGTCTCAGCTTCGAAATGTTCTCCAACTTCTGACATCTAAGTAACCGGATTATACATTAGTAACATTACACACAGACTTTTCATAATTATATTTTAGTCATTTAACGATAACTCCATTGTGAATAAGATTTTTATTTTAATAAATCACACAGCGTTGTACAGTAATATTAACTGATGATAGTGTACTGGACCACTGGATCGGGTCCTAGTGGCTCAATGGTCCACGAGCTCGCCTTGTAACCAGAAGGTCCTGGGTTTGAACCCCGGTGGTGCGTACTGACGAAGAGTCCCAAACTAGGACGAAAGAGCTGTCCAGTGTTCCCAGGTTTTTCAATGGTTCTCTAACTGATGTCAACTCATAGTAAAATCCTCCATACGGTATGATTTATCAAAATAAAGCCTTATCCATAATGGAGATATACTCTACCACAGTACCCAAGTTTTAACGATAAATTCAGTTTTTTTGCTACTGATTAAACCAAGGCATACAGTGATCAACGTGTATCTGTACTTGCCGAAAAAAACAAACAACAAAAAAGTTGTTTTCATAAGATGATCAGTTCTATGAGAATAACATTCTCAACAGTATGACGCCTAAAAACATTTTGTAGTTAATGCAACTCATAGATAGGTTGCGTAGTCCATCACATGGGTCAATAAGTTTTTTCAACAAAGAACTCAGATTTGTTTACGCGCTAAAATGTTTTTCTTGACTTTATATCTTTGACAAATAAGTGATAGATGTATGTAGTATTAAATAGTGATTATTTTTATTCTTGTCATTCACAACTGTTTACCTATAAACAATTTCACTTTAATTACAAGGCATCTGATATGTTTTTTATGAAATAATGTATATGATACTTTAATTGAACTAAAAGCATACTTTAAGTCGATCATGAGGCATAATCTTTGAGAAAAACAGGAATATCTGTGGCAAAAAAACTTCTGTCGATGTTTCAAATGATTAAGAAACTTAGCCTATGTAAATTACTTCTACAGATAGTCATGAAATCTATCTGCCAAGGAGAACCAAATATAACCGTTTATGTACATATTTGTTGATGATTTACTCATCTATGAGGACTTGCAGTGAAAGGACTGTAAATTGTAAGGCTGTGAAAAGTAGGGATTCGAAGACATTCATAAAGCTTAGCTATATGTGCTACGTTAGTCAATCATTTGCGAATAAACCATTTCTTTAAATCTCAAATCTGATATGATTTTGCAATTAACACTAAACAGTTTATTTAAACTCCTGTCTGTGGCCTCTGCAGTATATTCAACTTGCAGTGATTATTTATCCAGTCACTAACTTCGGTTGGAATTTAATCCTGATATGATTGAAACTCATCAATAAAACCCATGTGTTTTTGTCAGCCTACTCGGCTTCTAAGTGTACAGCTAATATTTCAAAGCCAATTTGTTACTGAAGTGAAACAGGGTTAAATGGCATTGGAGTTTTATAGCTAAGTTGGTAAAATAGGGATTCTTACAGACTGAATTTTTGTCAGCCTCCAACATGAATTACAGTAAACCATGATACATCGCAGTGTCATGTCATTCAGTTAAATGATACCCTAGTCCATGGGGCTGATATCTTACAACCAACCTGCAGATTCGTACAAATAAAATCAGTGTTTTAAAACGAAACTATCTCATTTAGCTTAATGAGAATTACCAGAAAATTTAGGTTCCTTTAAAACGGACTCATATGAGGAACTCGTATTCATCTCCCGTGAGTATTATCTCATTTGAAGAATCAACGCACACTCTGTTTATAAGAAGCCATCAATATAGCGCTACACAAAACGTTTTCTTGCATTCATGTTTTTGGCGCAATAATCAAACGGAAATATGAATAAGATATATTTACTACAGTAAAAATAAAGAAACACCTTTCTGATGAACTTTTTTCAAGAGTGAAGTATATGTGGATTAATAAAAGTAAGGATTCTGCAATGAATTCTTGACTTCAGCCCAAACTGTATCCAAATATTCTTACTTAGTACACATGACTAATTGTTCTAAAGTCTCTCCATATTTCTTAACTTAAACCATGACGAGGTGTTCTTTTTGAAACCACCTTCTCTATTTTTATGCTACACACTAGGATTTAAACTAAATAGGCTTATAGGCTGGTAATTTACCCCACTAGGTAAATTCGTTTATCAGGTTCCTGAATTTATTTCCCCATCTTGTGCAAGAAATTTTCAGTTTATTCTGATAAAATAATCATTATCTGAAGCTAAGGATGTGAAGGGTGAACAAACCAAATACAAATATTAGAAAATTAATAAGATTTGACAACACTCAACGAATCTGAACTTTCTTATTTTCATCGTTTAACGTCAAGTATCCCTTGGAAGTTAGAATACAAACCAGTCAAACTTCCAGTCACAGATGTTACCACTGATCTGTTACGTTTGGAATAGACTAAAAGAAGCCTAGTTCTACAAGTGAACCTTTTTAGTTTACTTGTAGGAACAATTGTTTTGTTCAGTTTATGATGAGTTCACGAAACCATATGCGCTTTTATTACTAAATTTGTGCAGATTATATCAGTGACAACTTTATCTTCAGGTATTCCATGTCTTATGATGATTATCTCTTGGTGATCAAAGTGTTTTCTACAAAATAGCAACTTCGAAACCTCCCAGTCTTTATTATTATCATTATTACTTTCGCTACAATTATTATTGTGTTTCTCAATCTCCTGCATTCAAAATTATAATTTCGTTGTGAAGCATCTGAAAACATTCACTAGGAGTTCACACAGAAATGCCTAAGACCATGTAGTTTGTGAATGGCGAGTCAATTTGCAAGCTGCGAATTTGATTAACTTTTAACTCAAGAGACTAATCAGAATTCGGGTGGTTTGAAATAATTCGGCTCGCTGAGCTGAATCTAACCAGGAACACCACTAATGAGTTCACCTCCAAAATAGCGAACTGGTCAAGCGCTATTTAAATCACTTCACTCTGGCTAGCTAGGACTACCGGCTGATGTGGGTGATATCCAACCACTTACTTCAGTCAGTCAGCAGTATATGGCATCATGCAAATATGTGTCCCATTCTTTTATAGGCTCGTTAGGCAGATGTACTTGCTTCCATGTGTTCTGAATGAGATTTAAAAACACAGCATCTTGTCTCAGGTAAAAGACCATTACCTACTAAAATGTAAGTACATTCGACCTATGAATTCCAAATGAGATGAAGCATAAATTGTGCATTGCATTGTACGTCAGCACCAAATGAACAGTATCAGAATGAAACCAAACGTGGCATCACTTTCTAGAAACAAATAGGTCAATCTAGACTGATAAATTTGTTTTAGGGAAATAAGCCAAAGAATATCACACTTTTTCTGAATACATCTTATTATTCTTTATCGTTCTGTTTTGTTAAAACTTCCTGATAACACGCATTTCCTTTGCAAACCTGGTGCTGTAGCTACTCACCTGTGTGTTGATAGTAGTATACATAATCCAGCCTGTTTTAATAATAGCTTAACTCTTACAAACAACATCTCTATGGATTTAAAATTATTGATTAGGTCATGATTTTTCCCCCAAATTTCCGAAAAATAAGATGACCTATATTATTTAATTTACTAATCATTGAAATGGTAGTGAAAACAAAATCAAGATAATTATAACTTGTGAATAAACAACTGCTTTATTGGACATTGAAAAGGAATACTGGTCAACTATTTGTTGTCTGATTTTCTTTTTCTATGGATAAGGAAGAATGTCAATAAGAAGTAAAATAGTAACGCCCTCATTAATAGTAAAAATGAAATATGGAGTCATACAACTAACTTCTTTATTATTTAATTTATTTATTAATAATCTTTAGTAGTATGAGGTTATAGAGAACAGGTAGTTAACAGCAGGAGAATTTAGTTGTACCTGTCTTCAAATTCACCACTTCACTGCCTCCAAATTAGAGTGATATTTTATCATTTCCTGTAAGATGTGAACTTGATTTCAAGCTACTAACACATATTGATGAGTGAATAATTCATATTTGTATTACTGTAAATAACCGCTTTTCCTTAAGGTTTGTCATCTTGCAAAATGCCATCAACAGATATGTTCAAAATCGTCAGTACAACTAACTTCAACTGATACTTAATTATACTACGGGGCATTAAATCTATTACTGTCCATATTATTTGTT